CCTCTGCCTAAACAGGCATACGTCAACAACAGCAACAAAGCAATTTTCTGTATCTATTATAACCAATACTTAAACTATATTTCTGCATTTTAAAAATAGGGAAGAATATGATATACTTACAAGTTGTTCAGTTGTTAATTTCATAAAATCATATAGATTGCTGTAAGTTTTCGTAGTGGTTTTTAATTGCAAAGAATTAAAAAAATCTTTCCCATCAGTTTTGTTTATAGTTTGTGTGTGAGTAGTCATCTTTTTTTAAAACTCAATCTGCAAGAAAGATTATTTGTTAGGATATTTAAATAAAAAAAATATTCATATATATGAAGCATTTTAAATATAATTGTAGTTTGCTTAAGAATATTCATAATGTTATAATCAAACATATTTTTAATATCTTACAGAAAGCAAACCCAAAACAAAGAAACATAATGCTCTGAATACATCAGAACCTAATATTATCACTGATCATATATGAATAAAATATTCCCATTGAATATGTTATCTGAAATGAATAGAATATTTCCACTGAATATGTTTGATATAAAAAGAATATTTTCACTGAATATATCTGAAATAAATAAAATATATCCACTGAATCTATCAGAAAGGATTACAAAATTTCCACTGAATATATATGAAATAGAAAGAATATTTCCACTGAATATACTAAAAGATGGTAGAGATGAAAATATAGGGGAAAAAAGGAAAAAGAAATAAAGGTTTTTTAAAGGAAAAAAAATATTAAAGAATGTATTAAAAAGTATTCTCAAATTTAAGAAATTTTAAAACTAAAAAAAAAAGAAAAATTGGAAATTAAAATATGGAAAAGATATAATCACGTCATCAGAAAGAAAATAAGGATAAAAGAAAAGAAAGATTAACGAAGAAAATTTAGAGAAATAATAATAAGTTTTATTTACTGTGCATAAGCTGCAAGTGCATAGAACTCATAAAATAAGTTAAAAAGTATAGAGAAAACAAGGAAAAATAAGTAAAAAAATTTTAAAGGGGAAAAAATTATTAAAAATTGTTTTAAATAATATTCACAAATTTAAAAAATTTTAAAATTAAAAAGAAAATGGAAACTAAAATAAGGAAAAGATATAATCTCGACATCAGCTCATAGGATTACATTCGAAAAAAATGGTGCTCTCTAATATTGTATTAATATAGCCAAGCAAAACATATCAATATAATAGTGTGAGGATCACCAAAAAAATTGGCTATATTAATATATTGGCTATATTAATACAATATTAGAAAGTACTATTTTTGTCGGATGTAATCCTGTGAGCTGATGACAAGAGTGTATCTTTTCCTTATTTTAGTTTCCAATTTTAAAATTTTTTAAATTTGTGAATATTATTTAAAACAGTTTTTTATAATTTCTTTCCCCTTTAAAATTCCTTTACTTATTTTTCTTTGTTTTCTCGATATTTTTAACTTATTTTATGAGACCTATGTACATACTTGCAGCTTATGTACAGTAAATAACTTATTATTATTTCTCTTAATTCTCTTCGTTAATAGCTTTCTTTTTCTTTATCTTTTTCTTTATTTTGCTATNGTTCTGGTGATGCATAAAAACTATAGTTTCAAAAAAAATGTAAAAATGTCATATATTAATACTTGAAAATTCAAAATAGGCACTTACATTAAATAAAAAAAACATACCTAAAAATCTTGTACTTAGTGAGAAATTAAGTTGAATGTTGAGTTATGTGAAAAACTAATTTTACTTTTCTAACGAAATTTTTTTTTTTTATGTTAACCAAAATATTTCGATGCTTAAAATTTCTCACGATCAAACGTTTGATTACTTGATAGACGATGGTTATCTGACTTCTTTCAGTTGTGCATTTTTCTCTCATAAAACTTAACTTTTATCTCCTATATTGTGGCATTTTATGGTGTTTCCTAAACTATTTATTGCACTACGTATCAGTCTGTGTTTTTTTTTGTTTGATTCAAAAATAAATGAAATTTTATTTTGGATGGAAGTAAATTTTTAATTGCATTTATCAGCTTGCTTTCTTCATTCTATAATAGTAGCCTTTTATTCTATGTGAGGAAAATTTGAAATGCATTAAATAAAAAATGAGGCATTATAGGGGAGTAAGGGATAGTGTGGACATGAGGCTAGAGAGGACATTTTGAACAACTTATTTATTTATGAGTTGAATTTCCTCTATTCTATGAGGTATCGTAGATTTATCATATTGATATACACTTCCATGTGCAGTTGCATAATTAAATTGGAATACTTTAGTAGAAATTTTTAAAAGAAGATTTTTAAGGTGCAGAACTAATTTTTAAATTTTTCCTTTACTCTTTTACTAACATATTTTATTTTCACAATTTCAAGAAAAGTGGACAATATGTTATAAATTATCCAGTTTTATTTTCCTGTTTTGATATTAGCTTTAGCTCTGTATGTTTTCAAATAACTAGCATAAATAAGAGTCTTCGTGTAGTTAATTTGAGTGTATCCACTTTGATCTCATTCAAAGGCAAATGAAAGAAATATGAATTGGTTACAAATGCAATGCATTTGTTGCTATTCATCTTATAAACTAGAATAATTTCGTTAAATAATATAGTTGTACAATTAGCGGTCTCAATATTAAATAAAAAAATTAAATCGAATCCTTTAAATTAATTCCCTCCTTAAAACTTTTAAGAAAATTTGAAGGAGATGCTTCATTAAGTTCGCTAAGAGAACATAATTCAACATAGAGGAATTTAAAAAGAGTTTTCGCCACACTTAAACTAAAATGGAATATCAACGAATGGTAACGTCTTCTTTTTTGCGAGTTTTATAATTTTTTTCAGGGAGGGGAATATAGGTCAGGGAGTCAGGACAATTTCATCATCAAGTTAAAATAAGTAAAATTGAATAATTATTTAACAATATATTGATTTGCTTTCAAAATTTCTTTCTTTTACATAAAGAAAGACTATTACCAATCTATATTATATAAAACGCTAATACGTACGTATGTATGTATGTATGTATCAATAAAACCGATGATATTTCTTTTCTCGCGCTGGCAACAGTTTTCATTTTTAATTGATTGGATTCGGCGCGCAAGAGCACGTAGTGAGCAACCAGATAACAATAACCAGAGTGAGCATTATCAGGTTGTTCAATTCAGATTCATGCACTAAAAACATGACAATATNATATGGACATATGACAATATATGTGTTCTCAATTTTTACATTGGTAAATATTTTCGTTATCCAAAAATAATTTAGTATCTCATATCAATAAAAACTCGTATTCAATAAAGAAAGATCTATAATATTCACGTTATTATCCCTTTGTGTAATCTGTAATGATCTCGATATTATCGTATTCAATAGTTAGATTTATTAATTACGATTTTTAATTTCAATTACAATTGCGTCGATTGCATGATATTGAAGAATTCGCTACATTCATGTGTGTTGTCCATAGCAACAAAGAATAGATAAGAATTCAATAGAATTTAACAACAGATCATAATATTTTTCCTATTTAGCCAAATGATATTATTTTGACATCAAACAATATTTCCGCTTACCAAATGAACATTAGCGACACTCACAATACTATAGTATTCAATAATGTATTAACCTATAATATTTTCGATATTACCTTTCAGATATGTTATAGGTAATGGTTACGATGTTATCGTACTATATAGTTATCATTAATGATAACGAAATAGTAGAATTAGCTATTTGTGCTATAGGTAAACATTAGCCTGCTTAAATAATAACCTGGTGCAGCTTTATGATCACTATAACCGATAAATATCGATTTTTTTTAAAGTTTATGTTATTTTCATGTAAAGAATAAATTACTTAAAATTTTAGAAAGAAAATTTATGTTTAAAAACGATGTTTACAAATGAATATTATTATTTATATTTGATAACAGAAAGTATTAGAGTTTAATAAATTTAAAGGCAATGAAATTACATAAAATGTCATTTGGAGTAATAAGAAATATTTATGTTTAAAATTACCAGGGACGGTTAAATGCATTATTTTTTTAATTTTATATAATTTACGTTAAGCCTTCCAGGTGGCCGAGTGGTTAGCGTGCCTGACTGCGGAGCCGATGGTCGCGGGTTCGAATCGGGATGTTTCTTTCTCTCTGCGTTCTGCGGGATGTTTCTTCTGTGTGTTCTATGTTCTCTCTTCTGTCTGATTGTGTGAATGTAACCGCCCTATAAACGGGTTTGTGGTTGTATGACGTGGGTGACGCTGCTCCACCGCCGTGGCTTAGCCATTGGTGCTCACTGGGTAACGATAAGAGGGCAGCAATTCTGACATTTCTGAGGGCAATGGGAAATAGACCCAAGTGCCCGCCATTAACCAAAAAAATTCTCTAATATAGATTAAACTGAAATCGATTTTGCTTTGGATTTTATCTTCAGAACCTTTCTTAATTGTAATAAATTGCTTTCTTAATTGTATTATATTTGCTATTGCATTATTATTATGTTAGCAAATTTTTTCTCACCAGTCCCATAGCTTGTCTGTATTAGTCCGTGTAGTGTAGCTAGTGTTAACAAAAACAACATTTTTTGAAAAAAAAATATTCATGTAGAAAAACTAAGCAACTTTGTAATTCCAAATGCAAACCAGAATGAAATGAATCGTTCAAATTATTGTTAAAAAATACTTGATGAGTTAAAAATGATATTAAATATGTTTTTTCTGACAAATTTTTAAAAACGTATCTACATTAGCCTTGTTCTCTTTTCTATATGGTGGTAAGTTTAATTTTATGTTTTTGGGGAAAAAATAGAAAATCGAGTTATAGTAATTTTCGGTAGAATATTTATTGCAATCATCAGTCTGTTTGCTTTTCATTCCATTATGAGTTGTGTCTTATTCTACGAATTGTAGTTATTGTAATTGCAGTAATCTACGAATTGAGTTGTATCTTATTCTATGAGTTGCATCTTATTATAATTGTTAAGATAATTTTAATTAAATAAAAAATGGACGAAACAGAAATCTTTTTTATTTAGAAGATTTTTATTACAATAAAATTAGATCTTAAAGGATGCATAGAATTTGGAATTTCATCAAGGAAAGCTTTCATTTTCAATGAGAACTACGTTATTTGTCAGGAAATTAGTTATTTCATCCAAGTTTTGAATCCAATCTAATTGAAGCCTGAAAAAAGAAAAAGAAATAATCACTGCACCATTCAATATTTTGCTGAACTTTTTTGTTCAAATTTGTTACAATCGTAGCATTGTGCTAGGTTAAACCATACTATTGCACTTAAAATGCAAATACTTCATTTGCATCGTAAATTATAACGATGGCAAAAGTTTGCATGTTTCCATCGTTCAAATATAGGAAACATCGCCCACTCTCAAGACTCACCAGACGCGAATAAAGAAAATTAAAAAGCATAGCGTATCATAATCAGCTAAAAAAAAAAAAAAAAAAAAAAAAAAAAAAAGAAAAAACTCAAAAGGACTCCANAAAAAAAAAAAAAAAAAAAAAACGCGTCTTCGAAATTAAAAAAAAATATTTTTGACAATTAAATACGAAAATATTAAGAAAGAGGAAAATATCGTAGTACTTTCCTATACCAGTGAGAAGAGGAGGAGAAAGGAAGGAAAGGGTCGAGACATGGAATCGGTGTTCTCCCCAGATGGCGTATTCAAACGTTACGATTGCGAATACCACGGAACCAGTTTGGTCGAAACTAGACTGTTGCATTTCTGTAATGCTTGTGACCAAGGTTTACCGAAAGAACAACTGTAAGGGCTGTAAATAAAACTTGAATTGTTTCTGCTTCGAGTGTAAGGTTCAATTAAGCTTCTTTGGTTTTGCTACAAATAGTTTCTCGATTTGAAAAATTTCAGATTTTAGTTGGACTATTTTTGTCACCTGTGTGCAGTGAATTTAAACAAAATAAGAAATTTGATTGTCCATTTGATATGAAGTCATAAATATAGATGATTTAAATCTTCGGAATCTTTTGAGCTGGCTGAAGAGGATATATTTAAGAATAGACTATCTAAAGTTTGAAATCGAAATTCTTACCTTGAATTTTTAATGAACACCCTCTTAGCTTGTGGAAGTGGGACTACAGTAAACTCAGTGGCAACAGCAAAACTGTACGCTCCCATATTTTCCCATACGAGATATTCACCATCTGTTACTTCAGGGAGGGTGCATTCTGGCATTATGTAATCTTCGCTGCAACAAGTTTGTCCCCATATTGTACTTTTATAAACTGGTCGTTTCTTGATTTCCTCCTGTTTCTATAAAAGTGAAAAAATAGGTTATTAAATTACTTTCATGATGCTGTGGACGTTCTGTCGATCGGTGAATTAAAAATTGTCGATCGATTGATGGTATTCATCACAATTCAGAGTTTTATTTGCTTTGGAGGATTGCGTTTACATCTCTTTCTATCAGGGTTGGATTAAGAAGGAGGCTATAGGGACTGGGGCCCACAAGGAAACTAAGTTTTTGGAATTAAAATTGATTTGCTAATCTTTTTAAAAATTTGTTAGATATTTTCAACAACAATCTTCCTTTAGAATTATTTCTGTAATCATTGAGAATCATTTATGTAATTCATTTTCTGTAATCATCTACAAAATATTTGAAGAGGACGGCGGTGTTTGGTTTGCAAAAATTCAGCATGTTTAATAAAAACGAACGATTCTTATTTTTCTCTCTCGATTTGTATGTTGTAAATTTGCTGTATATTAGACATTTTGTTTGTTGTAAGTATGTGGTAAATTTGTATGTTGGTAAGTTCTTGCAACAATTCAACATTTACAAATTTAAACATGTTGTATCAGCTGGCATATACATTTAATTGAGTTTTAATATTTAGTATAATTAATTTTTAAAATTTATTTTTTTAGTATAACTAAATTTTTTCTAAAAGATTTTCTTTTTGAGTTTCTTTAAAGCAAGCCTAAGTTAAATTCAGTTGATCAGCCTGAGTAGGGACCGAAGATGCGCGGTATCGGTCCTCGTTAAACTGCTGTACCGTAAGGTACTCGATTTTGCCATTCCTTCTGCAGAGAATCAAAATTGCGGTGGTATGTCCTCGGATTATCCTCAGACATGTTTACTAGACAGTCGCCAATAGCTTATTGTGCAGCTCTAGTGCAACGTAAATAAAGTACCGCTACTAACTTTTCGCTCATGAATTCTATTATGATATGTGTTTTAAGATTCGATGTGCAAAGTTAAGGATGCGCTCGAGTATTTTTTGCTCCAGTTAGACGAGTTCTTCAACACAATATTTCTGATCTTAAAATCCGAGATCATTAAGTTTTCAAGGAGCCATAGTAAAGAAATAAACTTACCAACAAAGGTCTGGCATAAATATCGTAGAGTTCAAATTGCCGAAAAAATGAACCATAATATCCATCATTTACAAAGTAATGTTTTTCTACACCATTTTCCTCAATTTCTGAAAAGTAAGAAGTTATTAAAATTAGGAATTCAGAGGGATTCAAAACAGATACTTTTTATTAAAATGTTTTTATAACAAGCATCACGCATCCGCTACGACTGTTACGAAAGTTGATAGCAGCAAAATAATCACTTATTAGCTTCATATACTAGGAAAATTTTTCTAGGTATTCAAAATATGATTCTTGGCACCCTTTCAAGTTTTTTTTATCAGAGCAATGTTAGCGCGCTAGTCTCCTAATTGAGGAAATAATTAAATCAGTAAATGTTTAATTTAATAAATAATAAATAATATAATAAAAAAATATATGATATGTGGAATATAAAAATATACTCGGTTTGGATTACAAGATTTTTAAATAAGTGCGCAGCGCTAGTCCTTCAATTCTAGATGCATCCCGTCTCTATCACAGATGAATTGTTGACTTTCATTTTCAGGTTTAGAAAATAATCAAATGCATCTTATTTACATCAATGATTTCATAAGATAAAGGTAAGCTTCTATTAATCGTTATTATACTTGTCCCGACATTTCCGACAGTGGCAATTCCTACTTTTTTTCTAATCCAAATTGAGTGAAATCCACAGCCCTCGTCGGGAAAAAATTATCCCAACTAGCGAAAAAAAAATTAGTGACTGTAATCATTCATATGATGCAAAAGTTAATGCAATGTGTGGCCAACTATAAATGCCTACTAATTGCATTTTGTTGTTAGAAAAGTAATACTTTCCAAACTCTGAAATTAGAAATAAATTCTCTGTCGAGAAAAATGCCGACATGCATCTTTTCCAGTTGCTTATGAAAAGTAGAATCAGTCCAATAGAGAAGCAGCTTTGAATTAAGGGTCTAGCGTTGTTTTGAAATTTTGAAATTTTGTGCCCAGGTCCTAGAGAGTTATCCAATTAACGGATAATCAACCAGAAATTTCGAGCGGTTGTCTGTGTTTTCCATATGAAATTGTATTTTGCGTCAGTCTGACTAATTTAAGTCGAATTCGTAACTTCTCTGTCGTAAATATGAACTGTTTAATGTACTGGGCTGTATTCGTTTCTTCGCCCATTGATATATTATTCGGTAATATATAGATTATATATAGATGTCTCTAAATCTTTCTGTTGACTTGATCAGACCAATCTCAAAAATATGAGTCGCGATGGCTCAGGGGATAGAGCCTTCCAATGAGGTGAACCGAGTTCAAATCCCAGCGATGACTGGTCGATACGAATTCCGCACCCGTCTTGCAACGACCACAGTGCTTACGCGAAGTATCCTCAGTGGTAGACTGATCATGGGTTAGAGTCCTCTTATCGTTAGGCTAACCGTGTTAGGTTCTCGTGGTCTTTCTTACCATGTAACGCAAATGCGGGTTAGTTCTATCAAAAAGTCCTTCCCAAAGGCAAATTTTTCCTAATGCTTGAAACAGGAGTTCCCTTGTCTTCTGGATTGGGTTCAAAATTACAAGGCTATAGAGTTGGATATTAGTAGTCGCAAACCCAAGAAAAATTGAGTCGACTGTTCAAAGACGGTTATAAAATAACATGAAATCTTAATAATATGCTTCACCTGCGATGTGCAGTACTTTAACTACTTAAACTTGACAAATAAAGAAAGTGCCAGCATACGGAAATAGATACGAATTATACACAAAAAATTGATTACGTAAAAATTGATTACCTGATAAAAAATCCATCATATAGCGATATTAAATTCTTATTTCTTTGATAAGGCAATTGCTAATTAACACGGGCAGAACAATAACCGAATAAATGGTTTTTATATCATGCTCTAAATTATCATGATACAATTACCAGATTATACCACATATTTATCAAATTTTAACGAATACTATAAAACCATATTTTATTATTAATTACTCTAAAATTATTACCAAAGCGCTTTGGAAAAATTTACCGTGCTTTTTGGTGTTTTTATAGAACTAGAAACATGATAAACTTTTTTATATTCTAATAGTTTGACCATGCTTTTTTATCTTCCGTGCAGCAAAACCATCGTTGAACAGCCGACTCAATTTTTGGATTTACGACTACTAATGTTCAACTCCATAACCATGTAATTTTGAACCCAATTCAGAACACAAGGGAACTCCTGGATGAAGTATTGGGAGAAATTTACCTTCGTGGAGGACTTTTTGATGGAACTAATCAGTATTTGCGTTACACGATGAGGAAGAAAGTGAGAACCTCCCACGATTAGCCTGATGGCAAGGGGACTCTAACCCATGATCCGTCTACCACTGAGTATATTTCCCGTCAGCACTGTGGTCTTTGCAAGCCGGATGCGGAGTTCGTATCGACTGGGATTCGAACCCGGTTCACCTCATTGGAAGGCGAACGCTCTATCCCCTGAGCCATCGCGGCTCAGAAAAATGATATTGTAGTTTCGACGGGATGAAAAATTTTTTGTAACTTTTCCACGTTGGTGTTAAAAATCTTTACTAATTAAGGTAAAATTAAAATATGAACTGGAACAATTCCTTATGTTTTGTATACGCGCCGATAAACTCTTTTCAAATACAAATCTTGCAACTACCAAATCTTCAGAAATGTTCAATATTGAGATGACAGTGAAACAAACACTGTACCTAATGATTCAATGCTTACAAAAAATTCCTCTAAAAGGATGATAATCTAAAATTTGTTTTCATTACAATCAAAATGTAAAATTTGTCTAAGTTACCATGTTGATCTCCGTTAACTTGACGTGGGAGCTTATTGACAGTTTTTTTTCCTAGTACGCAAGTTACATTTCTTTGAGCGGAACCAACAAAGTAGCATCCGGGCTCAGCTATTACGCGAACACTGTTGTCTGGAAAATATTTTTTCACACCATTTCTAATTTCTGATGAGACCTACAATAAGAATTTGGCGAGTAAGAACATAGAAGATAATAAGTAAGAACAAAGATGATAGTATGTAAGAACAAAGAAGATAGTATGTAAGAACAAAGAAGATAGTATGTAAGAACAAAGATGATAGTATGCAAGAACAAAGAAGATAGTATGTAAGAACAAAGAAGATAGTATGTAAGAACAAAGAAGATAGTATGTAACAACAAAGATGATAGCACGTAAGAACAAAGATGATAGTATGTAACAACAAAGATGATAGCACGTAAGAACAAAGATGATAGTATGTAAGAGCAAAGAAGATAGCATGTAAGAACAAAGAAGATAGCACGTAAGAACAAAGATGATAGCATGTAAGAACAAAGAAGATAGTATGTAAGAACAAAGATGATAGTATGTAAGAAAAAAGAAGATAGCATGTAAGAGCATAGTATCACAATTAGTTTGTATGAACGAGTACAAAATAAGCACATGCAATAGTCATTTTTGTTTAATGTCCAATACTGCAATGTATAGCCAAACATATGCCATTTCATACTTGATACATTAAAAAATTCTAATGTTTTTTTTCATTTTCTCAAAAGAAAACACATGTTTGATTTTGATTTCAAATTTTTCTTTAAATATTTGTTTGTGAAAAGGTTCTTTAAATTTTTCGAAAAATAATTAAGTTCAAAGCAAAGATTAGAATTTCTTTATAAGTAGGGAAGAGAAAAATGTAGGGAAGAGATTTTACGAAATTAGGGGAAATAATTTCGGAAGATTTGAGTCCTTTAGCTTGATACAATTGAACAGAAATTAGATTAAAAAATTACCCTGTTGTTGTTTAGTTATTTCATTACTAAACAACATTAGTTTATGTGCGATGATATTTCTCTTAAAATTTGTGAAACTTGTAGTAGCAATGTACTTAGAGGAATAAAGTTGAGGTTTAAAGTTGAACCCCTTTGGCGCAGTATTTTCATTAAATATATTTTTCACACTTTTTTCATTATTTTGTATTAATTTAGATCAAAACAAGTGAAAAATAATATATTTAGCACTTTAATAACTTTTGGTTCATACTTTAGTACGAATATAATTTTGATAATCTAACAGATTTTCTTGTAACTATTAGACTGTTTTTTAAAATTAAAAAATACCAAAATATATTTTTTCTTGTAATTAGAAATTCAGAAAAAAATATATGAAAAGATAACCGGTGTTCCATCTGCATCAAATGATTCAGGTGCCGAAAATGACTATGCTCGCCGAACACTGGACTTAAGAGTTACTCTTGTGTTTTTTAAAATTGATGAATATAGGTTTATTGTATTGATAAACTTGATAAGGTAGTGATGTATAGGATCACAACGATTAAAATTGGAAGATCAGGATAAATCCTCAATTTATAAATATCTCCTCAAATTATAAATATCCGTAATACTAATTATTAAATTTTTATTCAGAAGCAAGTGTATGAACTTCTTAAAATATTAATTTAAAAGAACAGTCTAGTTTAATATGCGAACCAGCATCATTTAAAATTATCCTGTACAACATATAACCTTTAATGGTAGCCAAGCCAAATGCACATTCTAATTTTTCAACCCCTCCTCTAATCCTAGTACTTTAATTAGTTTTGAACAATACATTAAACAACTTTTTTCTTTTTCTAGATTGATTTCCTTGATTTCAATTTTAACTATTTTCAAGAGACGTCCATGATATTGTTCAAGTCCTTCATGCATTGAATTTTAGTAATAATTTAAAATCTGTCCTGCAGCCATTAAATCCCCCAAACCACCGTAAGTATGAGTTCGGAACACTTCAGCAAAGTAGGTAACAGAAGTATTAAAATTATTTCTATTTTTGCCAGCATCCCAACGTTCAATTACGCGCTGTACTACTTCCTCAAGCACCTCTCGATCTATAACTTTATCGTATAATAGATATTCTATTGCTGGGAAATAGTAAGTTCAGTCAACAACAATTGGTATGACAGTATGTTACATCAAGGGAACCACTTATGTTTAATGATTTCTACACAAAATTCTACAGCCATTTTATAAATTATCAAATAAATCTAACTAATAAAATCGTAACTAAGTTTGTATTCCTACAGAAATATAAAACTATTCTAAATAAATACCTAACGTATAACTAACTATTCAACACTTAAATTATTAATTAAAACAACCTAACAAAATGAATAGCAAGTATTACGCACAATAGATACCAGAGTTTATGGTGCCTCTTAATTCGTGGTCTAAATATCGTGGTCGGAGGAAACGGGGAATTTTTGAGAAGGGAAAAATGGGGTAGTAGCATATGGTGCAAGTTAAGAAAAGACCTTCGCAGTATAGGATTTAAGTAAACATCCAAGACTACATATAGTTCCGTTTTATTTCGTAAAAGTTTTTAAAAACGAATCACGACAGACAGAAATTTAATTGGCGCTATCTTTTACGATATATGTCATAAAATTATTAAAAAATGGTTATAGTTTCGTAGTGATACTGCAATTCTAGGCTTGGTGACATATTTTCATAAATGAGGAGAACATTCCTTTTTTTTAAAAAGAAACAATTATACAACGTTGCAAGAGCTTTAGGTTTGCTTGAACCACTAAAAATGGTGCGACTAATGCTGACAAGTCCTTAACAAATCAAGAGCTCGCTAAAGAATTTTTACTTTTACTTCACTGTTGAAGAAAATCGTCTACAATTTTTTTTAAAATTCCTTTATCAGTTTCTTTAAATGAGAGTTGGCGAGATTGAGATACGTTCGCACAGGGAGCTTTGCATCCATTTTACATGCGCTTATATACAAGCAGGTTCTCCTCATAAGGATAATGCTTTTTTTTTTTAACTTGCAACAAAGTATAGTGCAAGTTGCAAGAAAAGGGTTCGTTATTATTAATTAAATGGGTGGGAAAGCGCTTTAAAGTATCGTTTCCGGAAGTTGCCACTGAGCATATTTCAAAAAATGTGTTGAACGCAGAAAAAGATTCAAAATAATTTAGATTTTTGCTTGTGTTTAGTGACAGACAAATAGTTTTTTTTAAAAAGAAGCAAACGCGTGAGAAGTTGCACGAATTCTATAATTGCACTAATTGTAAAATTGTGTTTTAAATTTGATAGCTGACTTTATTTCTACAATTAAAAGAAAATGATCACAATATATTCCAAGGAAATGAATAGTCATTTTCATTCTTTTGTATTTAGTAAGAATCACAGAAACAAAGTGGCGTTTACCTCATCAAAAAATTGTTCTTTCTCTCTTGATCCACAAAATCCCCCTCCTATATCTAAAAGTGTGAAATGGAATCCTAACTCTTCAGCGAAATCGAATAATATTCGGCAGGTACGTATAGTTTTGGAGTAAGATGTAGGGTCCGCACAGCATGCACCAACATGGAAACTAGAACATAGAACGATTTTTAAATATTTAATAATTTTTCCACATTTCAATTTCACAAGTTCGTGATCATATAAAGCAGAAATTTTTGCAATCACGTCGTAGCACAATGGTTACACTGTGAAAAATGGATACTCAAATTTTACGAGACTTTCTTCATTTTTGACAAAACCGTTTCCTGGTATATGCTCCGAGCAAACATTTTGCCAAAGTGACGAAATAGCTATAGTGCATTCTTCGAGGAAACGAATTTTGTCAAAAATGAAGAAATATTTCCTCATTCCTTTATTTATTTAAAAAAATAACAATAATACAATCCAATGGTCGGTATTGTTAAAATTTTTTTTCATGGTCCCCATGTAGGTAGATCAACGCCACCCAAACTACGCAAAAAGGACAAATAGAACAAAGAAAGGAATCATATCCTTGCCTGAAGCGGGATTTAAACCTGGTGTCTTTTTGTATGAGGCAAACTATACAGCCCGGTCGGTAGTATATAATCATTCTTGTTTCGATAATCTAGTCTTCATTTTAGTTTCGCGGTCTTCGTTTGTGATGATAAAAGCAAGTTATTCAAGTTTATAAACAAATCAACGCAAATTTTTTATATGTGATTAGATCATTCTATGAAAATTAAAAGCAATTATGACAAAAAAAGCCTTTTTTAATGACGTTTTTTTTTAAATTTTGGCCAGCTTTTTATTCGATTCAAACCCTTGGGCAACGGATGTTTGTCGGTTTCATTTCTTTTGATTACAGAAATCGTGACACGTTTTTTTCCGATAGTGCAATAATGTAGTAAAGTGATGATTCGCTGAGTATTTCTATACTACTAGTTTTCAATCAAATGTATGGATTTTTTGTGTAATGAGATATGACCTTACTTTTACAATGTGCACACCTTTAATTATTCAGTTATCATAAAAGAAATTTTGAAAATACGGCTAGTTAAAAATACTTTAAAAAAAATCCCAGTGCTATTAAATGAAATGGAAATAAGGACTATACTTCATTGCAAGTTAGGAAAAGATCATTGCGGTATAGGATTTAAATAAACATCCCCGATTGCATATAGTTTGCTTGTTACTTGATCATTCAATTAGTTTCGTTTTCCTTATTTCTCACAATTTAAGAAAGCAAGAAAAAAGGGCTGTGCAACGTCAATGTTGATATTTGTTCGCGCTGGGAGCTTGGGCATTCATTTGGCTAGCATTTAGGCGAGCAAACAGGCTCTCTTCATGGGGATAATGGTTTTTTTCAACTTGCAATAGAGTACAAATCGCTTGCACAAAGTAAAATTAATTAGATTAAAACAATATTTTGAATAGAAATCTTAATTCAATTGATAGAAATTCACTGTCAGCAACATGCCTTATACCGACCACGTTCATGTCTAAATCCTTAGCTTTGATGAGAAGCTGTTTTACTTCCTCTTGTGCACATCCGTATTTAGTATTCAAATCATAATACAAGCTTTTGGGGCTTTCAGCTTTTATTCTTATAACCAACCTGAAAAACGAGACAATACAAAACAATGTTATATCTTCCAAAAATAAGAAGAGAAAAAATTGCAACAATCAATGATTTTCATTTTTGTTATTTATATTTTCAAATTTAATGGTTTATATGAAAATGCTTTTAATAATTAGTAGGTTAAAACTCTTTAAGAAAAAGCCTTTACCAAAATAGGCAGAAATGAGACTGTTTGTTTTGTATATTTCGTTACTGTAAATAGAAGGGTAAGTTAGGAATAAACGTCTGTCTGATATATATCTGATTTATATCTGAATTTGTGACGTAAACAGCGAATGAACCGACGTTGAACAGTGAATCTATTTCTGAGCAAACGACTGCCAATGCTTAACTCCATACTCTTGTTATTTTTAACCCAATGCAGAAGACAAGGAAACTGTTGTATCAAACATTGGGACAAACTAGTCTTCGCGGAGCACTTTTTGATGGACCTAACCATCATTTACGTTACATGGAATGGATAGCCACTAAATCCTCTCACGGTCAGCCAGTCGGTTAGGAGATGACTATGATCCGTCCACCGTTTATGATATTTTATGTCAGCACTGTGGTAGGTGTAAGACAGGAGCAGAATTCGTATCGAACAGCCAACGCTGGGATTCGATCCAGGGTCACTTCAGTAGAAGGAGAACACTCTATCCTTTGGACTACCGTGGCTCCCATTAATTCCAATGTCATGAATAAAAAAAAAGGTCATTATATAGGTGTTTTCTCGATTTAAGAAGAAAATCACACCATAGTGGTCAGATGAAGTTAAGCCATCAAGTATATAACTTTACTTATACCTCGCCATGGTACTGTATCAGTTGATCAATCGGGTGCCAGTAGTAACAAGAGTGATTAGGGAAAATATATTGAGGTCATTAGCAATCAGAAGGCGCAAACAATTGATACACTGCTGAAATGTAACTCTTCTAGTTCAACCTTATAAGTAAGATATTTCTGTGCAACAAAAGCATTGAATTTAGTTTGGGGAAAATCAAATCTCATTTTCGTGGAAGTTCAGTAAAAGTAAAATCGAAATCAGTAAGAAATCTTCATAAAACGTAGAAACATCAGAAAGCTATATCTTAATTCAAGCAAGACCTAATATATTGCAGCGTAATGCAGCTGTACTCTTTTCTAACCCCTTCCGAATTCTGATCTTTATCAGAAACATTTACGTGATGATTGCCAAAAATAAAAATAAAATTTCAGCTCTTCGCAAAGTATTTTGAGCTCTATAAGTGTTATGCTAAAATTCTGAGCCAGAAATGAAGCGCATTTCAACTAAACTCTATTGAAAATATGAAAGATTGTGTTTAGAAAGTTGCTTCGAATTACAAAAATGGCTTCTATTTTAAACGTAGATGCATGTGTGTTTAATTTAATTATATTTTGCTTTTTAATTTTACTTTGAGCTTTTAAAGGGAATTCAAATTGTATTTCAGCTCTAAACAAACTGCTAATAATTAAGAGCCGATATATAATTAAATACGAGCGATAAGAGAGACTTTAGTAAAAAACCATCCAATTTACTAGTAACAAAAANTGAAACAAATCACACAAGGCTATGTTTTTTTCCGTATATGCGCATGCGCGCTATTGGAACGAAGAGTGCTTTTGCTGTGAGGAGAATTTTGAGTGAGCAACATTTCGCGGTTCTGTTGCATGTTACTCGGAGTCTTTACAACTGTGTTTACACTATAGGCCTGTTTAGACGATCCAAGTTCTTGGGCAAAGATTGATTGATATTGATGGAAACTTGTTTTGCTTTGTGATTGGATCGTGTAAACAATCATCCAAGTACTTGGTCCAAGTCTTTTGACGATAGTAGAGCATGTTCTACTTTCCATCCAAGTTTTTCTCCCTTAACCAATCAGCGTCTTAGCTTTTGTGACGACAACAAGCAGGCATCGGATTATGTCATTTTGTTGTCTGTTTTCATATATTTTAGCCCAAGTAAATTGATCTGTTACTGTTTATTTGTGTTATTATGATTTTATTTGAATTTATTTAGCAATTTTGAACTTATGTAAGTATTATTTAGTAATGTTGAATATGAACAATGCGCATGCGCAAGTTTTTTTCCCCCCAATCAGTGACAGTCAGGAACTTGGATAGTGTCGACGAATCATCCAATTTCTTGGACAGAGAAATCCCTCCAATTTCTCGGATTTAAGAACTTGGACGGCGTAAACAGGCCTGATATTAAAATTCCAACCCTCGTATTGATTAGCGGCGAGAGTTTGCAATTTTAAATTAAAGGGCTCACCTTGCTGTTGGATAGAATTTCTTTATTTTCTGAAGTTCTTCCTCACTGTCAAAAGTCATCAAGTCGACTCCAACTTCACTTGCATACTTCAGAGAAGAATATGGCTTGATCGTGTGAGCATAAATTACGTTTTGTGGTTTTCCACCATTTTTAAGAAATAAATCTATTTCTCCCTTAAAATAAACCATCATTATAAAAATTGAAACTTAAATTTTTTATCTTTATTTATTTCATTTCATTCATTTACTATTATTATTATTATTTCGGTTTAGAATAGGGATGCTAATACCAATCAAAAATGTTAAAAATATAATCAGAATAAAAAAAATTTAAAGTGAATATTTTCCTCAATAATGGATCAGATAGTTTTGCATCTGAGAAAATTTAAATATTTGAGAAAGTTTATTTACGGTATAAAAATCTTAAGTTTTAAATGCGTCTTCTTCGTAACCGTCTAAGTGAGAATGTAACTACCATGGAAATATTAAAGTAGTATGAAATTTTGAATGTATATTTTAAAAATTGTGGTATATTATCTCTCTGAATTTATGTAGAACAACTCAAAATATAGTGTTAAGGAGTATTTTTTTTCAAGTTAATACCAAATGGAGCTTTCATATGCTGTTTAAAGAGTGTAAATAAATCTGAAACTCTTATAGTGGGAAATGTTTACACCACTCTCACGCATTTTCACACCATGCGTTAAATGCTTTCGCTTCCAAAATCACCAATGCAAGCATGCTTTTGACATCGTCTTAAGATTTTTTACGTTTCAATATAAGTTCGCGAGTGTTTGTCGATGTATTTAATACTGCTATACATTTACCGAAACAAAAGTTCACTGTTAAAATATGTAAGCAAGTTTTTAATGAGGATAATTTTGTTTAAAATTTCAAACCATTGTGAACTGTATTGAATGATTTTATAATGTATAATTTCGATCCGCATCGGTTTTGTTACGCCTAGATCGAATTCATCTTAATTTTCTATCAGTGTTACGCTTATATTTGATTTATAAATTAATTTTATTTTAAGATTTAGTGTATTCATCTATCCTTAGTAACCATAAATATGATTAACTGTAACATATCATAGTAATCAGCGTATAAATAATGTTTTTTTCACGTTTTTATACACTTAAGAATGTTGGAAGTGACACGCATAATTTTTTTTTCGAAAGTGGCACTCTTCTCAAAGCACTTGGTCACTTCTGATGGAGGTAGACATAATAATCTAAATCAAATTTTTATCTGAAATACAAAATGTAAAATATCAAAGAAAATGTACCTTGGTTGAGCAGTCAAAGGAAAAACCAAGCAATGCAAATAACCGGACGAGTACAGGATCCGAATGAACTTTTACAGCTGAAAAATTGTGAGCGTTATGCAGTGTTATTAAAAAATTAGAAAATGCGTTAGATACAATAACAAAAGTACACTGCAGGAAAAATCCGGTACGAATTACAATAAAAAGTACCGAAATTGAGGGTGCAGTACTCTTTACAGCAAAATCCATTTTCACCGTTTGATTTTACGGAACAAGAAATCTGATATGCAGTAATATTTACTGTAAAATCATTGAATCACTGTAGTAATATAAATATTGCTGTAAAAATTACGGCGTAAAATTTTACTGTGAAAATGGAATTCACAAGAAAGTGGACTTTACGCATAATGCCTTGTGCCAGTACTNTTAGTGATCCTTCTACTACTGCTGATTCTTCTACCATTAACGTCGCAGGTTACGAAGTTTAACTTCTTACGCGCGGAGGGACTCCACGCACTATTTTTTTATCGTAATCGTGCACCTCAAATTTTGACTATACTTTGAGTACTTTTAGTACTTAGTACTTTTTACCGTAAAAGTGTATTTTGGATCCAGGATTCACATTTTTTGTGCTTATTTAACGTGTATAGATTATGATGCTTAAAATATTTAATATTTCTGTATAGGACAGATGTTGTTAACCTATGGATCCCACTGGGTCTCGTGGCTTATTCAAACTATAAAATATTTAAAAAAAAATTAAATATTTTTTTTAAACATTGGTCATTGTTTGAATTAAACGTGAAGGGAAACTTAGAGGCACAGGTATAGATTATGAATTTTATTATTGTTTTGTTAATCAATCCTATAATTATTCAATTAACCAAACCTGTTTGTTCATTAATAAATAACAGGTTATCAACTGGTCATTATCCTTTGATTTATTTATCATATTTATCCCTTTGTTTACCCACTGTTTTTTTCATTTCGAAAACATCTGTTATATTTTAGGTAAGTTGAATATTAAATAAATGATCTTAATTTTAAAACAGATCTTTGGGTCGAAAAGTTGATATGGCCGTTCAATTTGAAATACCCTGGTTTAAGATTTTTATTTAGAACTACAAAGGTATAACTCCAAGTAACTTTTAAAGTAACTATTTCAAAAATCCTAAGATATAGTAGTATTGAATTCATGTTGAATAAAAAAGAGAATTGAAATAGTTTCTAGTTAAATAATAATTAATCTAGTAATAGTTTCAATCGTTTAAAACTCATAATAATTTTTAAACGCGGCTTGAAATTTGAAAACTTCCTTGAGTTAAAATGGTGTAAAATATCGAGCAAATTAAGAGTGTTGTTTTCTATATAGTATAGATAAATATTCTTTTACTCAATGAAATATTTGCTTTGATAACATTTAATGTATATGCAGGGTAAAAACAGTCAATGATTTTTCTAATAGAAAAAAAGAGAAATAATAATTCTAAAGTATACTCAATATTTAATAATAAGAAGAAGGGTTCGAAAAATATTTGTCTATGAGACCATTACTCTCGAATACCCAGCTACTCAGTGGCAACTATTTTTACTGATGATTCTCAGTTCGACTGTGCCATTTTTATGTAGAGGATGGTGTTTTTTGGTCGTTTTTTTTGCACTCCTACATTCTACATTGGCATCACCTATATGAAGTGGCGCCCATAAGTTTACCATCACAAATTAGAAAAAATAGTCCTTTTTTATATCTATTCTCAAACAATTTTACATCAAGTATGAAGCAGCTGCTTTTTATTCTCAAGCAGAATTCTCCTTGACACCTTACAAATGTCGCTTACAAAAACATTAGAGTTATTTATTCGATGTTAGGTATTGCAAAGAGTTTACCATAAAAAGGAACGACGTTGGGAAGCTTCTCTTTCCAAAGTTGTATTTTCCATAGAATATCAGCGAAATCAAGTACAAAAAAAGTCTGTTCTGGGCTCTGAAATTAGAAAGTATCGTTTAACTCAGTTTCGCAAAAATTACGGTAATAAAAACATAATTTACGTATTCATTACATAATAATTAAATTTAAATTTGTCGAACTAGTTACTATCCAGATTGGACCTATTTTGTGCATGATTTTTCAAGATGTAAAAAACTATTCTTCACAATCGGACACTTGCAACTTGAGATGAAGTGAAGTGATTATGACTTACCATGTGATATGGATCAGGTTTAATTAGATGCCTGTAAGTGACGTAACGCGTGTGTGTCGACCTAACTGGTTTCTAAATCGACAAATGCTACTATTTACCAACGATGGCGACACTTGTAGGAATCGAATTGAACTGTTTTGAGTAAAAATGTTAATTCGTAACTAACTTATCGTAAATATACATATTTATAGTAATTTTTTTTAAAATTTGAAATAAAGATAACGATGCCAACTTGTTCCGTTAAATGGGAAATTTTTTTGCTTATGTTTGGGAATGTTTTATTGATGTTTATGATTCATAAATTTTATTTAAAGGAACCTCGCACTTCATTTAAAACTTCATATAAAAAGAAGTACCTTTTCGATTTATTTTTATTTACGAACAATGTGAATCGAAATTTTGTAAGATTCAGTTTTCAATTTCCTACCAATAAATCCTTTATAAGCAATAAATCTTTTATAAACAATAAATTTTTTAGATACAATAAATCTTTTATATACAATAAATCTTTTGTAGGAGGTGGATCAGTTGGCATTCCAGTAAACACCAAGTAAAATAAAAATACTAATAATCAAAAAGAAAAAATATTTGTTGCATTACTAGTTAAAGTTAAGAAATCCTATAGTACTTACAAGTTGTTCAGTTGTTATTTTCATAAAATCGTACAGATTGTCGTATGTTTTCCCAGAAGTTTTAGATTGTAAGCAATTAAAAAAGCCTTCCCCATCAGTTTCGCATGAATTGCGTCCTTCAGAAGCCATTTTTTACCTGCATGAAAATAAGAATTTACCATATATACTTGCAACCTGTAAAAATGATAAAAATTTACTATAATATTTCAACAGAAACTTATCCATCTATCTATGTTTCAATTTGAAAAATAAACAATTTGAATATTGCAGTAAGTGGTTTTATTAATTGATAGGTGCAATCTGTACGATTCGCATGAATTGTGTTCTTCAGAAGCCATTTTTTACTTGCAAAAGGATAAGAATTTGCAATACATACTTGTAACCTGTAAAAATGATAAAAATTTAACATAATATTTTTGCAGAAACTTATCCATGTATCTATGTTTCAATTTGAAAAATAAGCAATTTGAATATTGCAGTAAGTGGCTTTATTTATTGATTGGTGCAATCTGTACGATTCGCATGAATTGTGCTCTTCAGAAGCCATTTTTTACTTGCAAAGGGATAAGAATTTACAACATATACTTGTAACCTGTAAAAATGATAAAAATTTAACATAATACTTATACAGAAACTTATCCATGTATCTATGTTTCAATTTGAAAAATAAGCAATTTGAATACTGCAGTAAGTAGTTTTATTAAGTGATTGGTGCAATCTGTGCGATTCGCATGAATTGTGCTCTTCAGAAGCCATTTTTTACTTGCAAAAAGATAAGAATTTACCATATATACTTGATACCTGTACAAATGATAAAAATTTACCATAATATTTTTACAGAAACTTATCCATGTATCTATGCTTAAATTTGAAAAATAAACAAATTGAATATTGCAGTAAGTGGTTTTATTAATTGATTAGTGCAATCATTAATTTTGTGAAAATAGTAAAAAAATAGAGTATTTTCATTGATGTTCAGTGCGCAAAATGAAAAATGGACTATACTGAATAACTTTGGATCTAATGATCGAATCATCATGTTCGTCAGAAATACGGCATACTCAGAATTCAATTTCTCAGGAGCTTCTCGACCAACTACGGTCAAAATTTGTATTTTGCCATTTAAATTTAAATTCTTAAAATGATATGAAAGATTGTATAAATTAGAATTAAAAAATAAATAAATATCTAATAAAAACTATTTTTTGCATGGGATTATTTTTGGATAAACAAATTTTATAATTGTGTGCAAAAATTTTGCGATTCACTTAAAAAGTTTTCGAGCTATGGTGAAATAGGCAAAAAGTCCATAGGTAAATAGGTGAATAGGCAAAATAGGTGTCCAAACTTCGAACCGCTCTCCTGACTAACCTATTAGAACTTTTTTTTGCAGATTGCGGCTGACCCTTATATTTTAAGGGTCGAGAAACCGAATTCTTCGAAAAAAATATATGTTTATTCTGAAAGAGTACGTTTTTGCGTCTGATTTCGTAAGATAAAATATCGGTTGCACTAATCAGCATCATTGAGGTTAATCCATTGAACCTTTAAGATTGAGTACTAGAACATGAAGATCTGATCATTAAATCAAAAGTTATTAGGGTGCGCACTGTACGTAAACAAAATGAAATATTTTCATTAAAATGTTGGAACAAAGATTTATATCTGAAGTTCTTGAAATCTTCATCTATTAGCTTCTTTCTCATGCTTAACAGAATATTTTTTGCAGATTGAAATATAATAAATACGCGAGAGAGAGTTTGAAGCTTTTACCCATACAGGATCGACAAAATGAGAAATAAGTGCTTTCCCAGACCCGTATACTCCGATAGTATAAGTACTCCGGGTACATATACGCACTAATGCGCGTAGATAAGTGATTACGGTTCTGAGATTAAGGAGGACAAGGTGATATCTCGTAGAAAGCATGTTTTTTTTCTCATAAATTTATGAATTAATTGATCATGAAAAACAAAAACAGGCATATTAATTAACTTAATATTTCTGCAGTATTTGAATTAAAATTAAAGAAGTTAATAAAATACTTTTCGTGAAACTAAATACTCGTTTTATTGAAAATATAAGATATCTTTTGAAATATTTGAAAATGGAAGATACGGCAACTTACATTTTAAATGTTTTAATTAAAAAATTAATGGCTTGTGTATCACTGATGCAATAATAATTGCTAGTAGGACTTCAAAAACATCTTTAACAACAGAATGCCACATAATCTAGTGCAAAAGTGCCACAGCCGGATATTCTCAATACCAGTGAGCATAACAGAATAAACTTTTTCGAAAGAGCGTAAAATGAATTTTTTAAGAAAATGAATTTCAAAAAATTAGCTAATTTTTTATTAATAAATTTTTTTAATAATGTGAGAGATTTGTTAGCTTACAGCTTACTGCATACATTTTGTATCAATTATTTAGCTTTAATTTCCCATGTTGAGAAAGCACAAACAAGAGCAATCAGCAGTGACATCAGTGAATTAGATTTTTGTAAGATCTATGAAGTCGCGCATTTATTTTGTTAATACTTACGCTTTTAAAACGTGTTTGTAAAAACTTAAAAAATGCAATATCAACAGGTCAACAAAAATTCATAAAATTCACTATCCAGTCACATTAATGTGACCATCTGTCAGAAGCAAGATTTACCACCTTTCGCAGAGCAGTTTCAAATATTTTGCTGAAATAAGCAGTAGGGCAATTTTAGGCCTTTTTGTAAAACTGTGCATTAATTAACTGTGTATTAATATGTTTTCTGATTTTTTCAGACACTTTTTATATATTCTCCACTGCAATGTGCTGCCACCTACTTTCTGTGATTGACTATTTTGTGTTGACGCCGTAATGTGATTTGACTGCATAAAATTGGAATAATCCAAGAAAAAAAAAATCTAATGTAAATGAAGAATTGTGATTGCTGTAAATTTTGAAAATCAGATGATTTTTAGTAACTTAAATTTCTAAATCCTATTTTTTTGTTTTGATAAACCTAACAATGTTATTTACTGAAAAAAAATTGGAAGCAGCCCGAAAATAACAAAAAATAGACATTCTGTAGTAATTGCTAATTCATCTGAAAGATAATTTGTAGCAAGATTAAAAAATGATTGTTGAACCTTATTATTGGTTGATAAAAATTGATAATAAGAATTTAAGTGGCAATAGAAATTATCGTATTGCTCCGTAAAAATTTATCTGACTAGTGCTCATACAAAACGCATTAGTGTGAGTAAATATGATGAGCGCGTAAAAAACTAACTTTTTTTTCCTTTCAGTTTTCGAAGCTATAAATTTTTTTTTATCTTCTCAGTAAACTAATAACTCAAGTTTAGCACCTAGATTTCAGATTTTTTATGGTCTCCCGAAATGAAATAGTACCGTAGTTATTTTCAAGAACTACAATTAAAATTGTGCTAAAGCGGTTTTTTTCTGTTTCAGAGGACATTAAGAAACCTATAATTGAATATATATTTTTGAAAAGTGTATAAAAACAAAATTTTTTTTAGTTGACGAATGCGCTATAAAAGCGTGCTTTTATAAACTTGAATTCTGTATAAAGTCAACAAGAATTCAAACTGAAGTTAGCCAATTCATAACAAAAATTACAAACCTTCTCAAACGCAGATTGTATATTATTAAGTATAATAAAAGTTTCTGTCTGTAAAATTTCTTTTGATAGCTTTAATTACACGAAGAGCGATACAAAATTGAAAATTTATCGAGATAACTTCCGTAAAGTTTAATAAGGAGATTTTGTACTTCTGTGATGTAAGTTCGCCAGCAAAATAGCTACAAAATGCTATTGCCATCGATAACTATTTTCGAGAATTGCAATTATTAATAAGATAAGTTGTTGACTATCACGATTTTGTAATTTTAAAGAAAAAGAAATTCAAAGCAATGTAAATTCAATAAATCGTCAATTCAGATGGAAAAATGAAAGCAAGGGTAAAAGAGGTATATTTTGTACTGCATTGCTTTGTTAGCAAATTTATTATGAAATAGTTATATCAAAAGTACTTGTTTATTGGAATCTATACTGTTCATGTCGTCACAAAAAATGTTAATTCCCCCCCCCNCCCCAGTAAGCGCTGAGAGCATTATAATAAATATGCTACAGTTTTAATAAAGAAAAAGCACTATAAACTACTTTAAATTTAGTAATGTATTAATTTTTGAAAAAGATAACCGATTTGTTACTCAATATAAAATTTATAAATATTGTTTTTTTTTATGCTAGAAAACACCAAAAAAGCTGGTATTATAATTCACTTTATCAATTTAAAATGCTACAAAATGAATATTAAATCATTAAAAAAAATTAAATTATTTCTACTTTTTTTGGTAAAAACAACTATAAAATTTTAAAGGTAAAAAAAGGTAAAAGTATGAATGTAAATATTGATATGTTACCATCAATGCATGAAATGTCGGCATTCTATTCAATACCTAGTTATTGATAATGCCTCGAGTTCTTAGACAAAATTTGAAATAGGAGAATCATTGTACATTTTGCCAAGTACTGATTGCCTGTTGGTTTTTCATTTGTTATTTTGAAGAATGCGTAAGCAAATGTGTTAAATATTAATCATTTTATATTTTACATATTCGATTTTAAGCATTCTATATAATGAATAGGCATTCTAAAGAACGCCGGTTTTTCAGGCATTGACGGTAACAGATATGAAATAAATAATAATTGAAAAAAAAAGCAAAACACTAATTCTTACTTGAACTAAGAAAGGAAAAGTAACTTTCTTTGAATAACAAACGTTTACGTAATTATTTTACTTATTATGTAAACAGAACTTTTCGTATTCCCAAATTATCATGCAACATTTTTGGGTCTGGTCCAAAGTTTTACTTCATTATCAAACAATGTGACCACACGCACGATAAGATTCTTTGATTTTCCAACAAAATCAGATTTGCCCATTGTATTTTATTTGTTTGTCATTATGATTTTTGTTATAACCCTTTGACTCAGAATTTTTACAAAAAATGTTTGTCATATTTTTTTCATTATTTTGTATTAATCTGGATCAAAATAAGTGAAAAATATTATGTTCAGCATTTTCATAATTTTTAGTCACAAAATGCAGCATGAAATATTGCTGACTTT